TGAATTCATTTATTAGTTCTAGCACTTTCTTTGTAGACCCTTTTGGGTCTTCTAGGTATAGAATCATGTCTTCCGCAAATAGTGATAATTTAAGTTCTTCTTTTCATATTTTTATGCCTTTAATTTCTTTCGTCTGTCTAATTGCTCTGGCCAGTGTTTCGAGAACTATGTTGAATCCAAGTGGCACCTTCTATTGAAGAGTGAAAGCAGAAGTGATGGAACTTTCACATTTTCATCACATTTTACAGTGTGCAAATGTTTTCACATTTCTTTAGCCAGGCTTCACAAAAGTTGTAGATATTATTGGAGGCCACCCTGAACAGGAGCTATGCACACACATTTTGAGTCTTGAGTAAAGAGGTACTAAACTGGCATTGCACCCACTGTGATGCATGGGGACTTACCTCAGTGGGCCAGGTGAGGTGAAGCTCTGAGATTGGGTGTCACCCTATGTGGCTGAGTTAAACCCACCTGTTTTTGTAATATTACCCTTTCCTTTTTTGGATGGAACATTCCATAAAATATATCAGCCCCCCCCATGGATAAATTGGGCTTCAAAAAGTGCTCTCACCCTCTATACCACCTCCCTCCCCTGATTTTGTCTTGCCTGCCTTGTGGGAGCTTACATCTGAGGTGGAAAAGCCTTTTTGGACCGCCCATGAAAAAGGTACTTTTTGTGTTTGTCTGCATGATTATTTCATGCTAACCCAAATTCACCTGAGTGACCCTGGTTTAGTAGCCCATGCTGGATGAGGGCTACACAGTTGGCTCCTGGACAGGGACACCTTGGCGTGAATTTGGAGGGTTTGGCTTTGTTTAAGTGCACTTAAAATTTCAGAGTTGTGGGTTGGTTTGTATAAGAAAAGAGACTGCAGCTAGAAAGTAAGGGGATGGTAATCAGTAACATGGGGAATCCTTCCTGTTTGGAAGAGGCACTCTATTTCACAATCCTATAAACTGTAATGAGAGGTAGAGGGAAAGAAATTAGAAGAGCCCAGCTCACAACATGTTTGGGTTTGCATTTATGTGAAGAAAAAAAAAAAAAGAGGCCAAGACAAGGACTTGTTCCAGGTAATTTACTTGGCAGTTGATGTTAGAAACCTGTATTAGAAAATGAGATAGAAAAGGAGAAAAGGCCAATACCCAGGGGCTGCAGAAGTTGCCTCTGCAGCCAACCATCTAGATTCCTACTCTGACCACATGAAGGAAAGAATTCCATAATTTCCTGTCTGAAAAACATTGTGCTGGGACATTTCTGCTTGGCCCTATTTCTGCTGGTTATGAGTTCTCAAGGGGTGTTACCCTTGAAATTCCTCAACACCTTTGCCTGCAAACTGGGTCCTTACCACATAGAAACAGGACTAAGAGCAGAAACATGGAGAGGGGTGTGGTGCAGGGTGGAAAAGGGATGCTGTTGGAATGAGCTCAGCTCACATGGAACTGCCCACCACAGCTTTAACCAAAAGTGGATGTGCACAGAGATGTGACAGCACAACAGCACCTACTTCAGCCCACCCCTCATACGATGCAGATCCACTTATGCTCACTTTAAGTCCACACTGGACAGCTTGAGGGAGAGGCCACTTGTGGTTTCTAGAAAACACAACATGGAGAAGTGTAGAGGTTCAGTGGAACTAGCTGTTTCCCATTGTTGATCATGATCACATTTTTCTACATGTGTCTTCTGCCATCCTTTTTAGAACTCCCTCATTCTTGGCCATTGCTTCAGCTGTACTCTAAGCTGCTTTCTGGTATACTTATCCACACCTTTACTCTGTAGGCCTCAGAGACTTTACTGCAGAGAGACACTGAGTTACTTCTGTGAATTCTCTGCCTATTATATGGCAGTAACCCCAGCCTTCAGGATTACAGGGATGACCAATATTATAACTCCTTTCTCTGCTGCTGTGACACCACTGTGGAAATCCCAAAGTGACTAAGTGGCAGACACTGTTAAATTTCATGGAAAATTTCCTGTATGCCCCTGACTACCTACTCTTCAGGATTCAGGACCTCTAATACATCAGGTCCTAAAGGTGCAGAGACCTAAAGCATAAAGTTTGCAAATGAGTTTATGGAAATGATGCTGAGAGAGGCTGGTATTGCTTGGTTCATGGACCTGAGTATTCCAACTTTGGGGAACTGTTCCTGTAGGTTTAATGGAGGTTTCTGCAAACTTATATAAAGTGTCAGTAAATACTTTGTGTTTTGTAGGTGACAATGGTCTTTGTTTCAATGACTTTGCTCTCAAAGGGCAAAAACAGTCACAGCCAATATAAAAGCATCACTCCATGAGGACCTATATCCCAGTGCAGTGGTCCTCAAAGACATCAGGGATAATCATTCAGTTTTTGCATGTCATCATTTTACCACCAAGTTTCTAGCAGACCCAGTCTCCTGGAAGGGTATTACCATACTGAAAGATCAATATTAGCACCTGCTGCTGCCAGCTCAAGCAACAGAAGTGGCCCTCAGTAGATCTACCTTGGCACCAGTCCCAGGCATTGTAGTTGAAGCTGTGGTGGGCAGATCCATTGACAACCTCCAGCCTCCATTCCTGTCCCCTTGAAAATTCTCTTCTAAAGCCCACTGAACATACACTGGATTCAGCAAAAGACATTTCAAAAATCAGTATTATACTTTTCAAATGTATGTAAATGCAATAGATTCTAATAATTTTGAGATCTAAGGTGCATGAACATGACTTCAAAAACAGAGAATTAGTACATGTACTTCCTCTTTTACATCTCTCCAAATTACCCACTTTTTCCCTTTTCTCCCTCCCTCCCCAACATATTGAGGAACCTTCCATAGCAGCAGTCTTCTTGAATTATTAAATGGTATCCCAAGGGGAATAACTGGAAAATAAATATCAACTGACACTTCATTTATTTCTGCATAATAGATTGGTTCCCTTCCTTTATACATTAGTTCTGACATCCAAGGAAATAAAAGTAAATTACATATGTATACATACGTGTTCTTAAGTAAATTTCTATAAAATAATATTTTGTTTTTCAGCTTATGAAAAATTAACTCACATTTTGTTAACATTCCTTCAATTAAAAGGTAACAAGATGATAATTCTATTGTGTGTTTGTTGCCACAATAAAAAGTACATTAAAAGGCAATTATAGTGCAAAGAATGAATAAGATATGGTCCACTTTAATGATTAATAACTTTCAAAGAAGATATTGATAATTTTGGGCTGTTTTTTAAACTGGCAGGTGTACGTTGTATATAAATATGGATATGTATTCCTTTCTGTGTAATAAAATGTGTATATAGAGAACTGTATCATACAGATAGAGGAAAAATTCTACCAAAAATAGAAAAAAAATAATTAACCTTGATATCTACATAATAACTTGGTAAAACAATGTATAAGATGCATTAGTCAAATGTTATAAAAAGAAATAATATTATTTAAAGAAAAGTTAAACATCAACAGCCATGTCCCTATATTGACATTGCAGCACTATGGCAAGGTATTCAGTGGTGACTAAATGATGTTCCAAAACACCACAGTAGCAGGGGTCTACATCTGGCAATTTCTTAGGTACCATCATTCCTATATTTCCTTCTGAAAAGGAGAGCCAGACACATTGTGATGTCCTGGATTGGATCCCAGAACAATAAAGGAATATTTGTAAAAAAAATGTGGTGGAATCTGAAACAACTCTGCAGTTTGATCAACAAGGATGTTTCAAGGTTCATTTCTGATCTTTGACTGGTGAAGCCTGGAATATAAAAAGTTACCATTAGGGGAATCTGGGCAAAGGTCACATGTGAATATTTTCACACTATTTTTGCACCTTTTCTGTAAATATAAAATTATTTAAATATTAAAAGCTTATTAAAAATGTAAGAGAGACCTAAGAGACTTTTGTGCCTGTGCACAAAAAACAATCAAACAAACTGATAACCCACAAACCTGAGCAGCAGTGATGTTCTGATAACAAGAGAGGGGAACATACATGGATCATTTCAAAAGCCTCCCATGAAAGAAGAGGATGCAGTGACTGGGAACGTGCATGAAAGGTCTTCTCTGCTGGTCACATTCTAATTCTTGACCTGGACTGGCACATGGCTACACATGTGCTTTATTTTGATACTAACTCAATGAACTGTAATTTTTGTTACATTTTCCTTCAATAAAAGAGAAGTTTTAAATACACATTCATAGTACTGGTAAATAGTTCTCTACTACAAGTAAAGAATTAAGGGAGAATACAGAAATTAATTCAGTGTACAAATGTTGGGGAGATCTTGTGTAGATATCCAAGTTATTAAACCATAAGCATAACATTTTCAGAGCTGAAGGAACATTGGAAAAGGTCACAATCGGCCCTGACAAGTTCTTCATGGAGGCACCTCTGCAGGTGCTCCTGTAGTGGGAGGGGCAGGACCTGACATCTGTGTCTTAGCAAAGCTCTCAGGAGATTCTGATGCAGCCAGATTATATACCACTGAGACATGCAAGGTGGTAAAGTGAATGTTCAGAGTCAGAATGTTCCAGAAATGGCACAAGAGCCTCATCCCCAGACCCTGGCCCTCAATTCCACCTGGAGCCCAAGGGTTCCAGTTAAGATCCCTAAGCCTTTACAATTCCACTATAGAATATCTGTAAGTTCCATCACCCTCAGTTACCTTATCCAAGACATGACTTTTATCATCATGGATTTTTTTTTTTTACTCCAGAAGAAGCACTGATTTTCCAGAATAATTCAAGTTTCACACTTCTAATACAACATTTACACATTTTATTTATTTAATGGCAGATCATATTTAATGGTAGATTCATAGACTATTAAAACTGTAGGGCTACTAACCTGCCTACTCATTTTGTGCATGGGGAACCTGATGCCAGAGATAATGGAAAGTTGTTATGAGTTTCTAGAGACAAGTTCTCCTTTTTCAGGTCAATAAATTAGCCTGAATTCTTCCTAATACTTACATTCTGGAGAGATAAATTAATACAATATGAAATAGCATTAGATTTTGGTTTTTGTTCTTTGATGCATAATTCATTTTGTTGTTTTTTGATTTTCTGTTGAAAATAATTGTTCCTGATCAACAGTGCGATGGAACTGAACAAAAGACAAAAAATTATTAGATACTTAAAGTAAATTAGGGTGCTTTTTAAATGTGAAAATAATTTGCAGTAAATGAAAGTGAAATTTAAGAAATTCTTTTAAGGTATAACATTCTTAGGTAGGCAATTATGAGAAAGATAAATATCAGAATATTCAAAGCCACATGATTCCTCCATAAGCCCCAAGGTGAGAGATCCATATCCTGCATTAACAAGAATTCTTCACCAGAACATCTGAAATTAAGCAGAAAATATAACTTTACTCCTGGCATCTGTGAAATTTTGGTCAATTTATTTGCTTTTCCTTAAGGAACCTATGGACTAACAATATCTTCAAAATTATTCCTTCACGTACAATAGCTATCAGTCATTGAATGCAGACATGTTACTTGATACTATGCTAAGCAACTTGCATATAATATCTTACTTAATCCATAAAATGATCCAAAGAGGTATAGATATCATATTCATTTAAGAGGAGGGGAAGTAGGCTTAATGAGCTCAGCCAAGTTTACAGTCACAGCCCAAGGGACTTGCTGTATCTCATTGCAGAAAAAGGAAAATCCTTATGACACTGGACACAAACTTACATTACATAGCCAGGACAGTGATTGCCGTTTGTTATATTGAGTGTTGGACAGAAGTTTCTTCCCAAAAACTCATTATGCTGCAAAGCCTATATAACACAAAAAGCAAGGCATGATGGTTTTAAATTTCAAAAACTTTTCGAAGAATTGTCACAATTGAATCCTCAAGTTTAGTCTTTATAGTAACTTTTGATTTGTTCTTTTTAGATATACATGAGACTAGAGTGCATTTTGGCATATTATACATACACAGAGTACAGCATATTCTAATTAGGAGCCTATTCTTATGGTTGTACATGTTCAGAGTTACCCTGGTCATATATTCAAATACAAAGCTAGGAAAGTTATGTCCAATTAATTCTACTGTCCTTTCTATTACCATCTTCTGTCTCTTCTCTTCATTTCCATTTGTCTATTCCAATAGACTTCTATTCTTCATCCCTATTGTCCCTAATAGTGGCTTAGTATCTGCATATTGAACAGAACGTTTGGCCTTTGCTTTTCTGGGGTTAGTTTATTAAACTTACTATGATATTTAAAGACAAACCGAGTTTCATATTTGCAGTCTGTCACAACAAAGTGACTGAAGTTGTTAATCAAGAGGTCCAGAGTTGGGATGTTGTTTCCAATTAGCCAAGAAGGAAGAACTCTTGCTAGATAACCTCATAGCCCCTCCCTCCTGCTCTCTCGGTGTCATCCTACAACCTTATAATTCTAATGATACATTGTTGTTCATTAAATACTGAAGACTTATTGTAATGACATTTCCTGTTTTTTTTTTTTTTTTTTTTTTTTTCATTAAAACCACTTATAATGATAGGTAATAAAACTTTTCTTACACTGTATTAAGGCACCATTTTTTTTAGTTGAGTAGCTTGCTAAACAGGGTTGAGTGTTAGATAGGCTTTGTTTCTCTTATAATTTCCCTTTCAACACGATCTATGTATTCTTGTCTCCCATCTTCTCATTTCCTTATTGAATAGAAACAATGTTTTGCATCAGTCAATCTTTCTGCTTTACTATGAGATTTATTCTCCCCACCCTTTATCACCCTCAAACAACAGGATGACAGAAGGAAAACCCCAGATGACTTCCTGACCTTGTGATAATGAAGGCTATTAGAGATTCCTCATCCATTTATCCTGAAAGGAAATACTTGGGTGGGAGATGGTCCTAAGTCATACCAGGGAAAGTAAAATGTGTAGGTTTTATTTTCTCTCTTCCCATCTTGGAGACACACTCACAAGGACAGAAAAGGACAGCTTACCATAAAGCCATAATAAGGAATGCTGAAGAAGTGAACCCATGAGAATTGAGTTGTCCTGGTTCCAAAATACAATGACAGACCCAAAAGAATCTACACAGAGAAAAAGTATGAATTAGAACAGTCCAAGGATTTCAAGAACAATTGTAAGAAGATGCTTTCCAAGAACTCTACAATCTTCTAAACATTTCTGCTAGGAACAACGCTTGAATTTTTTGCACTTATTCTACACATTAACCTTCCTTTGCATGTTCAAACCTCTGCATGGCTAAGGCTGTTTACTATTTTAAGTTAAGGAAAATATACTATAAACTATGTTGTATATTTCACTTATTTGGAAGACCCTTAATGGTCAATTCATTGTCCTCAACGTTCTCTGCAACTGTATATAATGGAAGATTAAGAAGTATATTTGTCTCTTGGTATCTAGAGAGCCCAGGTTCAGAATCCATGCATACAGATACCCAAACATATAGATGCTGAAGTCCCTTTATTTTTAAATAGCATAATGCTTGCATGTAATCCCAAGTAAATTGTTTATACTTTAAATATATGTATCCTTTATATTTTAAATCACCTCCACATTTATCATATTGTGTAATAGCATAGAAATGCTACGTGTAGTTTTTACCATGTATGTATAACCATATATACTAAGTAGTTTAGGGAATAATGAAGAAAAATAGAAAAATTGTACATATTTAGTACTCACACAATTCTTGTTTTGTGAGTTTTCTGTTTGTGGTTGATTGCATCTTAGAATGCAGAATGCAAGTATTTATGGGCCTTACTGTGCTCACTATTCTAATTATATCCCTACCATGTGTTGCCCCTAATAATCCTGAAAATCTAGGAACATATGCAAGAATATTCCTGAGCATTACATACCCCTCTCTACTCCCATACATTAATAAGTATTGTTATTTACAGTTTTTGCATTTTATATTCATGATGTTAATATTAAATTGGGCTTCAGAATTGCAGGCTTCAGGTTTTTCAAAGGCTAGAATTGATAAACTAAATAATGCAGTTTAGTGCACCAGAAAATATGGTAAAGCCCTCTATTTAATGCTAGAAAAAGCAGTATAACAATGCTGACTCAGGAAGGAATGTTGGAGATGAATGAGAGGAAAGGCTGAGTTCCACCTCACTCTTGTCCTAACTGGGTCATGTGTGCGGGGATATGCACACCAATGAGAGTGCTGGTGTGCCTGCAAACATCAGACTTAACCTAACAAGTGCCTGATGGATAATATGGCCTCTCTGAATAAAATGTGATTTTATGACTGGCTTTTAAAATTCTACATGGAGACTTTTAAATAAAAAATCAAAGTATCAATAAATCAAACAAAATATCTGTTTTAATTGAAGTACATTTCATTTACAGTAAATAAAATATAAATAAGTCTTATCACTTCTCAATGATATTCATTGGTAGTTGCCAAATTCAGAAACAAAGAATGAAACTTTGGCAAGAATATGTGCTAAGCCATGCTCGAATGGTTATGCCAAAATGAACCCTAATATTATGAATAATTATAACTTAATAATAAGCAGTTTTTAATAGAGAGTATGTGCTTCATAAGTGTCATTGGAAGACATCTCCTCCTACTGTAGTTTGAGCATGTTTCTATAGCTGATGTTGTAATAGATGGAATGTGGACATTTAATCTGTTTATCTGCTGATTCATTTATGTTTGTGCTAATTTTGAGAGCATAAATGATTAAGACTTAGTAATCTATATTTTTTTAAAAAGATGAAAGAAAAATATATTGATATAAGAGATTCTCAGGAACCAGAACAATGGATCCTGAGAATCTCTTACATGGACTTTAGAATTTCCAATAATTTTAAAACATTTTTAACACGCAAGAGCATGGGAACTAGACCATTGTTACACTTCTCATGGAGCTTCACTTTCACCTTGGGGAGTAGTGAATCCAACCAAACCACCTTTGGTGCTTACACAGCCGGCAGTTCTCTAACACCAGGCTGAAAGGCAGGCAGAGAGCTATGTGTTTGTGAGGGAATCAGCTAATTTTTCTGTTTTTTGAAGTTATAATTTATCAAGGTTTCATAATATGTCACCAAAAAGTCTCTATTAAAAGATAATTAGTAAGAACATGGTGCCTGAGTTAAGTAAGTACATTAGAAACAAGCAAAATAGACTAGATAAGAGTAAGGAGGAAAGTGTTTTCTTCTCTAATGTAAAGGATATTTCAGTCTGTGGCCTCCTGAAAGTATGATTCCTACCCACCAAATCCTCAAATCTGGGTTTCCTTGGCAGGAAGTGCAGAAGAAACAAGGGCAAAAATACATCCCAGAGAAGCACAGTATACACTCACCATCATAAATGTAAAATAGAAGTCCATGATACGGATTACTGTACTTCCGTCAGTGTGTCCTGCTACTATGGTCAGGGTCATGGAAATCGATGAAAAAGCCACTGCCAGGAGGGTTAAGAACATGATGAAGAAAGTCTCTATTCCTGGCTTGGATCCTTAAAAAAAGAAGGGATTAGTCCAGTGTAGCTCCCTGTGTATTAGGGAATATTTATTGTGCCAATATCAGTATAACATTGAGAAAACAGTACTAGCAGGACAAAAAAGTCACCCACTATTCCAACACCATAGGTCATCAATTTCATTACTTCCATCACATAATTGAGAGGGTGTATTTTCAGATTTATGTCCTTATAGACAAATTGCTGTAGGGTTCTATGGTTCAGAATAGGGCTGTTAAGTTTCTTAAACTACTTTATAATTATCATGAGTTAATATTCTGTGTTACATGATCTGAGGATTTGGGAACAGCTACAAGAACACTGATGAGGAATCTAGGGCTCTAGATCCCGTGCCTAATTCTTATGCCATACATATTATTTGTAAAACAGAAGGTTGTAAATGCTATCATTTGCTCAAATTCTACACTTTGTTGTCAAATAAATTTCTGGTGTGTGTGAATGTGTGTGTGTGTGTGGAGGGGGTGGGTATTTATCTGTAAAACATATATAAATGATAATTCAATAAGTCTGGGGTGAAGCCAGAGCATAATGCACAAATGATATTGTCTACTTCATCAAACAAGTAATTTCATTAGATCCATAAACCCCCAAGTTACCATCTTCCTCTCATTTGAAAAGTGAACAGGGAGAGAATATATGTGTATGAAGGCTTTTTTCCCTCTCTATGTGTATCTACACATACTATAGATGTTACTGCATATCTATATTTCATATCGATATTGAGATACATGTAGAGAGAGAAAAACAGTAGAAAAAGACAATAAATATTCCAGCTCCTCTAACACAGTTTCAAATACTTTAAAAAAGTCAGTCTATGTTTGTGTAAGACACACAGCATCTGTATTATTTCAATAGTGGCAACAGGTAAATTATAGTTTTATAAGTAGTTTTTAAAGTTCATTTAGAACAAGTCTAGAAAAGCATGTGAATATAACTAGCTGTTTTAGAGAATATACAGTAGAGATGTGCTTTCTCCCTTATAGCTTGTTTTACAGTTTGGGGAACCCAAAACATGTTTGCAGAGCAAAGTTAACTTCTCCACATATCCAAGAGTAAAGACACACCCTCTTTGTCTTGTTACTTACCGACCATGAAGTATAGTATACAAATAAATACAAAACTTGTCAAGAACATCGCGAGTAGTAAATCAGGCAAAAGACTTCCAAAGAAATAAGATGACACTCTGTAATACCCACTGATGGACTCATGTCTATAGAATATAAATATATACCAACACACCAGGTTAGTTTACAAAGGCAGAGCCCAGAGGAGAGGCTGCTGAGCAGACTCCTGGTACTACCAGGTCTAAACCTGCAGCTGCCCACAAGCCCTGGGCTGATTTCCCAGTCCCTTCCCCCATCAGGTGCAGCCCCCCTGGGGCATCAGAACCTCTCCTGCTGCTGCCCACTCTGGCCCCATATAACCCTTCCAGCAATGCAGAGTCTGCATCTCCTCACTCTCCTCAGAGACTCTGTTTTCCCTCTGAGGCTGGCTCTGCTGGAAGAAAGGATTAATCTCGGTGGTACAAGGGACTATCTTCTCCTCACTTCAGAATGTGAAGGTAATATTGTTACCCTCCAAGCCTCCAATGTAGCTGAAAATCCCCCAAACTCTTTTCAATTCCATTCTCATGTTAAAACATGAAAATTATTTCCTTCTTTAGTGATCATGCTTTCCAACAATACATCCTTATTAAATACCAAATCTTAATCTTTGCTATTCCAAACACCTCTCTTTCCAAATTCCAAACGGTTTCATCCATGTCTTCATTCCTTTCCTTTCTGGTGATTCCTGTCCTGGGAATGTGGGCAAGGGCAAGTCTTTAAACAGTACAAGGAATAAAACCATCCTGCTCTTTCCTGTAAGGCTGCCCTCTGGCTCTCTCCACTCTGTGAACCACTCAGGGCTGCGCTTGGCAACATACTTTGTTAACTTTATATCTCATCTCCAATTTGCTGCTTAATGCAACACTTAAATGTCTACCAAATCTCCTGAATTTTTCTTGAGAGGGTCCTTATGACATATTACTTTCTAAAAACAAAAGACACGTCTTACTCTCTTTACTCCTCACTTTCTCTGTAGAATTGGGATTAGTCGACCACACCTCAACCTTGACATTTCTTTTTCATGGATAGCAGCCCTCACATGTTCTTGATTTTCCACTCCATTTAAGACTGCTTTTCTCAGTTAATATTGGTAATCCTTGTATATACTTCAAAAGCTTGTGTTGTTCATGATAAGTAAATACAATTTAAATTTCAATTTTAATAATAAGGAATGGAATAGTAATGAAAAGGAAAAAAAATTTCCAGTAATCCCCATTTTCAAATCCCTGGCCCAGTACAGGATGGAAACAGTTTGCCTACCAGCCAGCAGTGCCCTTTCTCTGAATAGAGGCCAACTCACACAAAACGCTTCTTCTGGAGCACAAAGTGCTGCACCGTCCATTTGCTGAAGCCACACTGGCAGGCTATTTGGTAGAAGAGCATCAGTGCTCTGTCAGGACAGAATGGGAATAAAAGCAGCTCAGTCAAGTCACACTGTTAGGTTGGTTTCTTCCCACAGAAATCCTTCCAGAATAGAACTCTTCTGGTTTAAACAGACAGGAAAGCATCACCTCATCAGGTCTCTCCCTGTGTGTCCTCAGTGGTGCCCTAGTTACTCCACACGATAGCAAATATTGAAATTTCTGTGTGGATTGCTGTGCACTGACTTGTATTCACTAATTTTTGTTTTTATTTATGTTAAAGAAATAACCCCCAGTACCATAGTACTGAGAAATATGTCCTGATGGGAGTATAAGGTTTAGATGAGGTCATGAGATTGGAGTACCTGTGGTGTGATTGGTGCCCTTGTAAGAGGAAGGAGCCCCAGACACTCTGTACTATGAGAGATATGGAGGGAAGCAGCCCTCTACAGGCAGGGAGGGACCCTCATAGCAGTCTGACCTGCTGGAAGGGGGCTCTGACCCCAGACTTCCAGACTGTACAATTGAAACAAAATGAAGGTTTCTCATGTAAGTCACTGAGACATCATTTTCTAGTCAAAACAATCAATCACTAATCTTCTAATCATTAAAGGAGAGGTAGATGAAGCACACATAAAGGCCATTTTCACACAGTCCAAAATAGAAGAGAATAAAATCATGGCATTTGCAGGTAAAGACATGAAGTTGGAGAATGTAATGCTAAGTGAAGTTACCAATACCCCAAAATAAAATGCTCAATGTTTTTTGTTTTTTTTTTCCTGATATAAGGAGGCTGATTCATAGTGGCGTAAGGAGGGGGAGAAAGGGAGAAATAGATGAAGACTAGATAGGCAAAGGGTTAGAAGGGTAAAAGAGGGGGCATGAGGTTAGAAATGATGGTAGAATGAGATGCATATAATTATTCAAAGTACATGTATGAACACACCAATGGAGTGAGTATACTTTTTATACAAGAAGAAATATGAATAATTGTGCCCTATATATGTAATATGAATTGTAATGCATTCTGCTGTCATATAACAAATTAGAATAAAAATTAAAAAAAAAAAAACAATGGGCCTATATCTGGGCTTCACTTTAGGCATTCAGTAAGGATCTGGCTATTCAAAACCAGGGGGCTTATTTAAAAATTATTATTTTTTTCTTTTCCTTACTCTTTTCCTTCTTGCCTTCACTATCTATCTGGAATCAAGAATAACATTCTTCTTGTCTCAGACATGGTTATCATGCTCTTCAGCTTATTGATAATAAGAAAATCTGTGTCATTAAGATGTTCAGTCCTGGGAACTGGTACTAACAGTTCTGACCAAAAGCTACCTCAAACACCATATGTACATTATGCATACTTTTTAAGGGGCACATAATGAGTCTGACCCAGAACTTTTCTTTAAAAGCCCTTTGATTGACCTGTACAGAAGACAATAGCTCTGGAAATATTAGTCTAGTATTTTTCCCAGATGATAGCAAAACAGTAAATTAATATCTTTCTTTTTCTCAAATTCTTCTCACCAGGTGAAATGGCCCATGCCAAAATCCCAGTGACTCTAGAGACTGAGGAAGGAGGATCACAAGTTTGAAACCAGACTCAGCAATTTAATGAGGCCCTAAGCAACTGAGACTCTGTTTCATAATAAAAATAATAATAATTATTAAAACATGGGCAGGGGCTAGGAATGTGACTCAGGGGTTAGGAGTCCCTGGGTTATGTCCCCAGTATAAAAACAAACAACCAAACAAAAACCAACAACAAAACACCATCTCCTCATTATTTGAATTAGCTCCTCAGATAAAGACCAAGCTCACCTGTTCTCAACAGTAAAATGGAGATGAGACCATCCACTCCTCTGGTCCTTGGACCTTAGGAGGTAATATAGCCATAATTTTGAAGCAGGGAGCCCAGTGTCTAGTGAGGGATGGTTCTCCATACATGAATTATGAGAATCCTGATGTCTGGATATTGAGAATCTATTTAGAAATTGAGGCAGCTGTTGAAAATGTCTTCATGGGATAAGTTAAGGGCACAATATGACTGAAACTAGAAAGGATCATAACACTGACTAGAGTGCTTTGCATAGGAGAATCAGGAACAACTCATTCCCATCCACACATCCTACACTCGCAAGTCACACAAAAAATACCAAAATTAAGGAAACTGCCTCATTACCACCAAAGAAAATGTATCAACTGGACTATTTTAAAATTAAAAACATCCTTGCACAAAGGACTTATAAATTGAGTGAAAAGAAACCCACAGAATGGGATAAAATATATCTAAACAATATATCTGAAAGGGATGAATAACCCC